ATACACAAAGAAGGAACACCACTCAGACCAATAGTCAGCTCCATAGGCTCACCTCTACAAAATCTCGCTAAATTTCTCGCTAAGCAACTTCAGCCCTATGCAGAATCCATCCCTTCACACGTTACAAACTCCTTCCAGTTCATAGAAACAATAAAGAAGCAAAACCTACATCCCAATGACCTACTTGTGAGCTTCGATGTTGTATCTCTCTTCACACAAGTGCCCATTAATGAAGCCTTGACAGCCATTCAAAACAAATACAATCCCCCCGAATACATCCTGGACCTGACCAACCACTGCCTAACCAACACGTACTTCATCCACAATGGACAAAGATACAAACAGATAGAAGGAGCACCTATGGGATCACCACTCTCACCGGTCATCGCAAACCTGTACATGGAACACTTTGAAACCAATGCTTTAGACAAGTCAGAACACAAACCCAAACTTTGGCTCAGATATGTTGACGACACCTTTGTAATTTGGCCACACGGGAAGGAAAAACTAGATAGCTTCCTCACACATCTCAACAGCCTACACCCCAAAATACAATTCACTATGGAAATAGAAGCCAACAACCAACTTCCCTTCCTTGACGTCCTAATCTACAAAAAACCTGATGGCTCCCTAGGACACACTATCTACCGGAAAAAAACACATACCAACCGCTACTTACATGCACAATCACACCACCACCCTGCACAAATAAACTCCGTAGCCAAGACTCTCATCTCCAGAACCAAACGCCTGGCTGACAAAGACCACTTGACAACTGAGTTACAGAATCTCTCCAATGTGTTAATCGCCAATGGATACCAGCAAAACAGGGTTACGAAGCTAATGCAAAAAGAAACACCCCCCAAAAACCAAGACACAGAAGAAAACAATGGCATGGCCCTCCTTCCTTATATCAAGGGCACCACAGATAAAATTAGCAAAATCCTCCATAAACACAATATCAAAACAGCCTTTTGCACCAACCAAAAAATAGCCAATATCCTCAGAAACCCCAAGGATAAAATCCAGTTGGAAAACCAAGGGGTCTATGAAATACCCTGCAAAGTCTGCCCAGCCACGTACATTGGACAAACAAACAGACGAATAAATGCACGTATCGCAGAACACAAGAATGCCGTCAAAAAAGAAGAAAAAACTTCCTCTCTTTTCCAACACATGAAAGAAACAGGACACGAAATTAATTTTGCAGATTCCAAATTGCTCTCTAACATGGAACATCACCACAAGAGAATAATCATGGAAGCCATCGAGATAGAGAAACACCCTCACAACATGAACAAGCGTGACGACACATCCCGCCTGCCAGACATCTGGAAATTAGCCCTCCCCACAAAAACCGACACCAGATCCAGAGGCACACAGAACGCCATCACCAATCAACCACACCAGACCCAAACCCAGACCCTCTCCACAGATAAATTACAGACACCATCCAGTAGCCAAACCATGGTGGCACCTCCGGATGCTGCACCCCCCTGCAATCCCTACACAGATCTGGCTGGCACAGGACACAAAACCACAGCTCGCCCCTATACACGAAGCCAAGCCAGAGCACAACTAAGCACAGTACAGCCATCTTCTCAGAAAAACTCTTCACAAAGTTCAAGAAGTCAAGACACGAAGGCTTTAGCAACTAATCCACATCTAATGACCCACCTAAATGGTACTCAGGATATCACTCAAGAAATCACTCAAGATATCCCTCAAGTAATTAAGGAACAAAAGAAGAAAAGGCACACTAACCTGGGAACTTCCTCTCTGCCCAGAACATTGGAGGCTATACACCACACCCCCTCAACAGTATTTATAGGAACTCAAACACTGAGATCCTGCTCTGTTCCAGTAACAAGAAGCCGAAAGCACCAGCCTGAAGATGACGAGTGAGACCTCGTCGAAACGTCGCCTAGACACCCCAACTTTTACACGGGAAGACACCCGAGGACACCAAAACCTGCATATATATATATATATATATATATATATATATATATATATATATGAGAAATACTTTAAAAAGCTGGAGAAACACCCTTTCATCACCTGACCAAATATTTCTGCCACAAATATATTAAAAAGTATAAACTGCTCACCTCCAAAAACAGGAGATGGTCTCAGGTCCCAAATATCTGGAAGACCGTCCCCTTCCCTACAGACACCCTTGGGTGTTCTGAGCAGAGAGGGTCCTCTTGGTAGTTCCATGACCCTCAGAAGTTCCTTCTCTGTGGCAGCTCCAAATTATGGAATTTCTTCCCCACAGAGGTGTGTGGCATTTTCATTATGCAGTTTCCATCATATGCTGAAGATCTACCTCTTTCCCCAGGCCTTTTGACACCTGGGACCCACCCTATTCTGGCAATAATAGTTTGTTTATACTGTTTTAATATTGTATTTTAAATTGTGATGACCAACCTTATGCTAAAGGGCACGTAATAAATTGAATAAATAGGTAACATACAAATGCACCCTTGATTTGAAATTACCTTTTTGTAGCATTTATTATTTTGTAGAATATGCCTAGAATATGCCTTTTTTATTTTAGAAATAAAAAATGAACGCTATAGACAATGTTTATAGCTGCATTTGTACATGAGAGTTGCATACAGCATATTATACACCCACTTTAAATAGAAGTAAAATCTATGTGTAGTTGTATTGCACACTGCAGTTTTTATATGCTTGTCCCATTTCATTTTCTAATGTTGAGGTTAAGGGAGCGGACAACATGGTGTGGAGGCTGCAAACTAGGAAGGAGGGGGAGGGGCAAGGCAGTGGAGAGGTCAGTACTGTGCAAACGCAACAGCAGAGCTAAGCTGGCCAGTGAGTTTGCACCATAGCAACCTCCCCACTGCCTCATCCCTTTCCTTCCCTGGAAGCAACAGGGCTCAGCTGTCAGGAGGTCAGGTGAGCGCCACTACCACACCACATCATGTACTACTGCCATCTAGCTCAATACTGGTCCATCTAGCTCAATGCTGTTTCATGCTGACCAGCAGCGGGTCTGCAGGGTTTCAAACAAAGAACATTTCCAACACCCAACTAGGAATTTCTACATCCTGAATATTATTAGTGTTGTAACTGAGCTTATGAAGACCCCTTCACTGTAAAAACAAAAACAACAACTGAGGCTACTCTATGATTCCAGGCTCCAACCACAACAAATCTCTGCACTATTTTTGTAATCTCCAAGTTGGTTCCAACATCCTGTTGAATCTTAAGAAAATACCCACATGCTGCTTAATTTCAAAAAGCTACACTTATGTACCGATCTATTATATTCATGGTTTGCTCCCATTCTGAAGGGACCATTTTAAAGACGATGTAGCATGCAACTCTTTTGGGGAGTCTGTTTTTTCTTACGTTGTTGCGAAAAGAATGACTGCGAATTGGATCTTCTGCTGCAAGGGAAGCACTGCTAAGCATGATGAAGACAAGGATGAGGTTGGTGAAAATGTGGTGGTTGATCAGCCTGTGACATCCCACTCGAATCCTGAAGAAAAGAATGACAAAACAGAACAATGTCATTACAAGTGGGAAGTTAACTGCTCCTGAAGCTTAAAACTAAGCAACTGCAGAGCTTTATTTTTTAAAAAAGTTGTTCATCTGGAAAGCACCTATGTTGTCTTGTTAACTGCACTAGTAATTCTGGAAAATGTACATTTATATGTATCATATAGGACAGCATATGTGAGTATCTTATGAAAAGTGGCCAAATTTTATAACTTGGATGATATTAAAAAAGCCACATATTTGGATATAGCTGCTATTCAGACCATCTTATTCAAGTAATACGTAATCATTTAAACAACCTACTAGAAGTTCGGTTTGCAAAGAAATGACACATCTGAAAAACAGCTTTGTATCGTCATTCTGTTGCCTTTTTTCGTTGCAGCCAGAAAAAAGTGTTGCTATTTTATATGGAAGCCTCAATGTGGTAGTACTATTTAATAGCAAACAATTCAAGGGATATACATAAAATGGTTATTTACGGGTTTGTATTGCTGAAAATAAAGAAGGAGCTTCCTTCAGGAATTGGTGTCATCTTTTCCTTCATATTCAGTTCAGATATTCTTCGGGGTCGGGGGCCAGCTGGCACTTCAGGTTCTTCCTCTTCCTCTTCCTCTTCACCTACTTCAAATTGATTACTTTCTTTAATATGTATATACAAAATTTGTAATACTAGAAAAAAATATTGGAAATAGATTATAGCCACTAGATATTTAAAACAAATGCTAGTTAATATAAGGTCATTCCTGCCATTCCCAACATTTGTTGATGTTAGGCCTCCACTCTGAGAGGCATGCGTCTCTAAATACCAGTTGCCGATGAGGAGAGGGCTATTGCACTCAGGTCCTGCATCTGAGGCATGTTGCTGGCTGCTGTGAGATGCTGGCCTAGATGGGCTTTTGACAGCGCTCTCCTTTATGTTCCCAAATATAAGTTATTACAATGAAAAACAGTATGTCAATTTTAAATTCTTGTCTGCAGCTTCTAGCTGAGATCATGTTTTCTAGACTGCCCGCTCCCTTTCCTGTTCTGTGCACTTTTCACAAATTCAATGTCAGGCAGGTCAAATCATCCCCTACTGACACAATCAAAGCAACAAGTTTTTTCAACTGTCAGGGTGCAAATAAACTGCCTTCCCCACTCCGCCCATGGAATACTGGTAAAGCTCTCCATAGACGCGACGCAACTGCAACTACAATACACGCCTTTGTCCCAACTCCTTTGTTTGGTTGCACAGATCACTGAAAATGTGCCACAAGAACATTTTTATTATTGCATGATACTCCCACCAGTGACTTTTCAGTGACACTGCCCTGTCTGCAAGTAATAGGCGGGAGTGGCGGCCTTGCTATGATGGTGAGCACACCTTAATGCAGGTGCAGTAGCTATGGTACTACTCTCTGCATGTTTTCATCTATCTAGAGGTGTGCTCCCATGCAGGAGATACAGGCTTGGAGTTGAATGTTGCGTGAGAAAAAATGTCACTCAGGCAAGGATTTTCTCTTTCCCGCACTCTCCTCATGTAGTCAGCTCACATGCCCTTGAAAACCCTCTCTGAAGAGTCAGGGACATACTCCTGCACAGTGTGTCCTCTGTTGAGGGGGCTGCAGCAGGAAACAGAAACTGCCCTTATTCAAGTGAAAGCACATTGCCCAAGAGTGGGAAAGTGAACAACTTCTAGATTCTTTTAATTTTATTTTAAGTCATCACTGTAACTGCCTCAACCTGTGTCCGTTATTTAGTTTGGAACATGGTTTGTCCATTTGTCTGTTTTCTATGCATTCTGATGCCTCTCGAGATAGCGTTGCCAAACTCAGAATAATGGTTCCTGAGATGGGGGTGGGAATTTTTGTTGATGTTAGGCCTCCAGCTGCCATTCTGAATCAAGATGGCAGACCAAAACGTGACTTTGGCAAGACTTTGCCCACTTTTTGGCTTAGGTTCAGGTGCCTCTGATTATTGCCAACTTGTCATGAGGGTTCCCAAGGTGAGGGCGACAGTCTTCATCTATGTTTGGATGCCAGGTGCCATTTTGAATCAAGATGGCAGACCAAATTGTGACTTCACCCAATTTTTGGCGTGACAAATCCAAACTCACAAATACCATCTATTTAAATACCATCCATTTAAAAAACCACAATATATTTGTGGTTTCCAAAAAATCCTGGGGAGCACCAGGAATTCCTTGCTAGTATTTCATAATTGCTGAAATGTGTGAAATCTATACTGTTTCTTTTTCGTTGTATTAATAAATAGCATGTAGTACACTTGACCCAATATTTTTTCTCTTGGTATATGTTAAGTGCATTAGTACCTGGAACATCGCAGGCTGGGTAGGGATCTTTGTCTTCATCTTCCCCTTCTCCGTATTCATTTATGGTAACCTATTACAAGAACAAAAACACTTCAGAATAAAGGTAAATGGAAGATGTAAACTGATGCAACACGCTAAACCAAGCCACTCTTTTTCCTGTTCTGCCCTCCGCAAAGCAGCCCCATCCCAATCCCAACACTTTACAATTTTTAATTAATTCAATAATTCTGGTTGGAGAAATAAGCAGTAAAAAATGTGCTTACAGCTGGATTGTCTCGTAAAGAGCCCATGCAGCTTGGTATAGGTCAGAGGTCAGCATTCCAATGATTTCCATTAACTCTCAATAAACCGAGTATAAATACACAATTAAAAATCAAATATTTTTTATGTTAGAAAATAAACCTTCTACTCCATCTATTATTTTAATGATACTGTCCAATAAAATCTAGCAGGTCATAAACAGACAACTTGCAAATATTATCTAATATGAGTCTCTAAACACACACACAGAGTAGAGAAGATCTGTGGACAATCGATGCAAGCGTCTGGGCAGAAAGCCCTCTTGCTTGTGGCCTTGAGGCTTGATACAAAAAAGCCATAGGCACCCACCATATGAGAGGACTCAGTGCATTCTAAGAACTTGGCAACCGACATGAGGTACAACCACAAGCACAGATGGAGACCAGTCAGTTTGGAGTACTGGCAGGTGTCTGTACATTTAAAGTATAGTACACAGAAGTGAAAAGAAATAAGGTACCTTAGCATCCTTGCCCTTCTTTTGTTCACCTTCTGGTTTGTCCCCCTTTTTAGTATCCAAACTCTCTTTTCTACAAGGAAGAAAAGAAGGGGGTTGGGAAAATAAAGGAGCTCATGTGTGGTATCTATGAAAAAAGTCAATTGCCAAGCTAGGCATCTGCATAGCTGCAGCCAAACCAAAGCTTTCCCAACCTCACCACCGCCTGACTGCGCCCCTCCTCTGTCCCAGCAAGTGCAACACTGCTGCCACTGGAATTGTTTTATCTGCTACTGAGATAGCTTATGCGCATATTTTACTGTCTGTACACATGGCAGTAATTAGGCTTTCAATTATGGCGTACTGAAGCAGGTACAATGTGGATGTCTTCACACATGAGGGAGTGCATTTTTCCCCATCCTCCAGGTAGGAATAATATCATTAAGTTAAAATTCCAAAACCTACAGCCAGGCAATACCTTTATTGGGAGCAGCCAAAATGTTACAAAAGCTTAGGAAGCTTTAGAGTTCCCAACAATTCTTCAGCAGGCAAGATGTTAAACAAAGCATGGGTGGAGGGGTTAAAATAAAAAAGTAGCATAAAAATTAGGCTGTTGGTGTACCCAAGAGGTCAGCTTATACATTCACTTCCAAGATGCTGACTTCAGGCTGCGTAAGTCCCTATCAGGTACTGCAGTCTGGTAATGTTGGTAACCCCTGGGAAGGACATATTAAGCCTGCAATCTCCATCTTGGAACTGAATCTACAGTACAAGCTGACCTGATGACTACAACAAAATTTTATTTTCTGTCCTTGTTCCGCCACCATCATGAACCGTTGAATACTCAGTCTTTAAAACAACAACGTTGTGTTGAATCCAACTAAGTCATTGTGCATGAGGAATGACTTCTCTAGCCCAAGGGAACTTTCCCTCCCTCTCCTTCTGCTATGTGCCCTCTGCATTGGAGGGAGGAAAAGTTCCATTGTACTTGTGGAAGTTATTCCTCAAGCACAATGGTTTTGTAGGATACAACCCATAGCTTCTTGTATAACTCAAGATAAATTGTAATGGTGATTTTATATGCAGTAGATTTTCACAAGTTAAATGACTATGGTGGAGTCATTAAACAAGAGTTTAACGTTGCCAGCTGACCATTTTCAGAACTGAAAAGACATGTCTAATGCTTATTTGTAATGATATGTGTGCTGTTTTAATAGGGACAGGACCTCCTCAGTTCACACCAGCTTTCCAAAGTGCTTACAGTGTCCCTGATTCTTTAAGGATCTTTACAAAAGAACCATAGGAGAAAATCAAGAAAGCTGCTTTCACGTGTACTGTGCCATTTCTTCTGTACCTGGCAGTCTTTTTCCTTTCCTTTTCCTCTGCTTCTTCTTTCTGAGCAGTGTTCAGACTTTCAGCATCTGCCAGGTTATCCACCGCAATGGCCAAGAAGACATTCAGCAAGATATCTAATTCAAACCATTTTAAGGATACTGCATAGGTATGGCAACCTAGTTCCTTTGCCAACTGGGAAACATGAAATCCACATTCCTAAATTCAGTGAAGGGCATAAGCAAACAGGTATAGGGTGTTTTTTATTAAAAAAATATCCCATGCCTCACTTACATTGGTTTACAAGTCTGAAGCAAATAACAAATTCACACATTCACTTGAAACAATCCATGGGGAAGATGCACACACAAGCCCCATCCTCAGAATTCCTGCTCCTGTGAACTCCATTCCCAACTTTCATGTGTTGAGAAAGGAGGTCTGGGGTGGGGGTAGGAATTCATGCTTTAGCTGCATATTTAGAATCCACCCTGTGTTTGGGGACCCTGCACAATGAATCAGGGCTCCTAATCAAGGGAAGGATTCTAAGTTCATTCATTTCAAATGGGAGAAGAATCTCCCTTCAACCCTTCCATTAAACACGTAAACACTTGAGGCTATACCTGGCAGGAACAACGTTTGATGGAAATAGCATGCACAACCCCAATCCTCCCCTCAGTACATTTTCAGGCAAGCGTATGAATATGCTTTGGTTTCCGTGAAATGCTTGGGATGGCTATTACATTCCCTGACAAATTCTCCTGGGCAAGATAATGACAGTGAGCACAAGTTCTCTTGCACAAACCCAACTGAAATGAAACTAACATGGAAAGGAAATCTAGACCTAAACAACTCAAGCAACATTTAAAAATTTACTCAAAAGTAGTTGCTGATTTTAGCCCTAATCAGGTGCCACTTCCATGCTGACATACAGGTGCTGTGACAGCTCCCAGAGAGGAATGACTCACTTCAATACCAGGGGCCACCTCTTCACATACTTTGGGTGATAGCCAATGTTGCACAAGTGGATTTCCTCTTCCTCTGCTTTCCCTGCAGCCCCCCGTGGCCTCTCAAGTCTGCTCCAAGGAGCTTTCCAACTGCTAAGATTTGGCAAAGATGGGTGGGATAAGGAAGGGAAGGGCAAGTCCCATAACACCAGCAAAAGTCTGTTTTCCTGGCATACAGGCATAATTGGAGATCACCCATAATCACTGTTTGTTTGTTTGTTTGTTTGTTTAATCACCACACCTAACATAAAGGAATTTCATAACTAATTATATCCTCAACACAATCCAAGTATTCTAATAATAATTTTATACTCAGCCTTTCTTCCTGACAGGGACTCAATGTGGCTTACAGAAAGAGTTACAGATAATTCCACCAAGTATGGAAAGTAGCTCATTGCTATTGTTGACTGGGAGTTGCACAGAGTCCAGGTCAAATTATCTGTGATGGAAAACCAGAATAGGTAGAGAAGGAAAACAGAATGGAGCATCTTGGAAGAGGGCATCTGGCTGGCTGGCAACCTGGACAGAAGCATTCCATGCTGCAACATTTTGTTAGAGATCCAGCAATTCCTTATCACAGCTATTTTAACCAAGAACAGAATCAACGTTATCAGTAATGACTGGTTAGGAGACCAAAGTGTTTATAAAAATTTAACTGAGAATTTTGAGAGTGGGGAATCAGAATGTGGAAATCTCTGATTTAAGTATTTTATATTCATGTTCTTTATATTTCAGAATTAAGATTAATGTCTAAAAATGAAAGGATACAGTTACCACAGATGAAGAGGATAATGAAGTATATGCAGACTACCATTCCTGATGATGATGGGCCTCCATAGGCCATAATACCATCATACATTACAGCATTCCAGTCTTCACCTGTTAGAATCTAAGAAATTGATTCTTTATTAATGAGTGAACACGGAACATTAAAAATCAATTATGTTTCTGCTTCAGTTCACAGCATAGAAAAAATACTCCATTAGCTGTACTTATATGACTAACAACATTCTAACCACTTCTCTTATGCATTGTTTTATACTACTATAAAATAAGGACATACTGTTTTGGCGACAGAGCTTTAGATCTACCAAAGAATTTGCCAATACCTTGCATTTAGGGTTTTGGAGAATTACTCTTCTAAAAGGACTGCTGAAATTGTTGCCTATGTGAACATTTAGGGACATTTCTGACATGACATTTATTATCTGCACAAATTATCCCACCTATCCTTGAGTACGCGATCACATATACAAATGTAGCACATGGACCTAGCATTAATACTCATAATTTATTTAGAGAATTTCAAGTGCTTAAAGCTCTTCACATACACTACCTTAACAATTCTTGCAACAGCTATATAAAATAATCTAGAATGATCATCCCCATATTGCAAACAAGATATGTATGGCCTGATGTAGAGAGAATGGTAGATTCTCTTAAGTCCACAGAGTGATTATGTGGCTGAGATGAAATTTTAACAGGAGACTACCGGGTTCACTAGAGATATACCAGTGTCAGGGCTTCACTCTGTCCAGACCTTATCTTTCACCTCCTCAGATGAGAACTAAGGAGACCCTTCAACAGATCTCCACACTGGGAATGACTCTGACTAGACACTTACTTTGGACATCCCTACCCTGTACCCTGGGTCAGGAGGCTGCCATGCCAGCTGTCTCAAGGCCACAGGAGCAGAGGGAACAGTGAGTAAGGCAGCAACTTCAAGGCCATCACCAAAGTACCCAGCAAGCTGCACATTAGGCTATTAGGGAGAAGTGCATGAAAGCACCTGCTTGGATCAAAGCCTGGGTGAGACCAGGAAGGGGTGGAGCCTCCAGCTCCTATGCAAGTAAAAGCTCTCTTCCAAGCTCCAATCTTCCTAGCCTGGGGAAACAGACAGACAACCAGCTCTTAACTGGGTAACTGCTAGAAAAAGAAACTAATATTCAAAGTTGCAATTAGCAAAGAGATCCCTTGGTTCACTTTGAACCTATTAGCAATGTTTAGGATGACTTAAACGGACAAGAAATGTATTAGCTGAGCTAGCCCCAAGACTGGCTGTAGATGTAACAATCCAGAGACTGAAATCATTAGTCATTCATGCATCCAAGCTCATTGTTTTCTTGGCACAACCAAAAGCACCTGCAGACACCTAAAAAAGCAACCTCTGAACCAGATTTCAAGGGTGCACAGGGAGCCGCAGGATAAAGGAGTTGTGAAAAAGGGGGATTTCTATTGCACAAGCAGAACAGCAGCGCTTGATACAACTGAAAATGATCAAGGGAATGCAATGTGATAATCTTTATTAAACCACCAAGATTCTGTAAATGATCATTTAACTGAGAATTTTAAAAAACAGTAACTTTTTGCTGTTTCTGAAGCAATGCAGAGTACAAAACTCTAATCAAAATGTCTCCAGGTTTTTTTCCTTTGATGTTTTATTGAGATAATTCAGCACCTAATCAGCTAGCTTGCACATATTTCATCTGGGTACATCCATAATATGAATGGAAAACAGTCTGAATATGGTTTCAAATATGGTTTGTTTGTCATAGCTTGGCCCAAAGAGCCCTAGGAACTATAGTTTTATACAGACATTGTAGGTTTGTTCTTGAGTAACACTGGGTGATATCCAGTTGTGCCCATCTGCTAGCGGAAATGACTTCCACTCACAACAGGACTTCTCCTTCCTCTCCTCCCGCATACAGCACTCTGCATGCCCACATCTGCTTTTGGGGGGGCTGAGTTATCCTCCTGCTCTGGAGGCAGGAGAGGAAGGAGACACTGGATACCAGCCCCTATAGAAAACTATAATTCCCGAAAGCAATTACCATTAAACCAGCTTTGAAACTCCTTTAAATAAATAATGTAGACGCACAGTGCACAGCCAAGCAGACACCAAACTTTTTACTGAACGCTATAGTAACACTGCATCCAGACATGATGCTAAGCTATGGTATAGTATTACATGAACAAGCACCAGGTTTCTGCACTGCCACTTCCCTCCTTGAAGCAGTCACAAGGAGGTCAGAAGCTTTCCTCTTTTTAGCAGAAGGAGCAGTCAGTCCACCTCTTCACTGACCAGGTACCACCACCTCCCATGCTGCCAAACTACGAGCTGCAGAAATTAATTGGAGGGTAGGGAACTACGGTTAGCAAGCTCACAAATCTGTCCAGGCAAGGGCCCAATGTGCACCTTAAAATTATAAGAACAGAAAAGCACTAGGAAAAATGCGTAAGACAGATCCCGAGTTAACAGAATACTTAACTCCAGAATCAAGTGGGATCTAGTATTTTGTAAATGTGCTTCAGCATGAACGCAAGAATGACTACAAACAGATAATACATGTACAGCTTCACCTCAAGGCCACTTCACTATTGTTTCCCCCCCACACACATGAAAACTAATTTCTGTTGTATAAAATGCATGTAATTTATAATGTCTGAATGGATGCACTCTCTGTTTTTACTTTCCAGATTAAAGAGTTGGAAGCAGCCACAGAAGCATCAGTGTCCTCATTTATGCACCTATGCTCCAAAAGTTACTAATGCTGACACTAAACCTAGCAAACATTGGCTCTCTGTAACATCTTCAACTAAGGCTGCAATCCTATTTATATACAGTGGTACCTCGGGTTAAGAACTTAATTCGTTCCAGAGATCTGTGCTTAACCTGAAACTGTTCTTAACCTGAAGCACCACTTTAGCTAATGGGGCCTCCCGCTGCCACCACCGCACAATTTCTGTTCTCATCCTGAAGCAAAGTTCTTAACCCGAGGTAGTATTTCTGGGTTAGTGGAGTTTGTAACCTGAAGCGTCTGTAACCTGAAGCGTCTCTAACCCAAGGTACCACTGTATACCAAATGGAATTTTCTTGGTCTTGCACTGTAAGTAAACTTGCCTAGGACTGGGCTGCATGATTTGTAGCAACAGCAAATGAACACCAAGAAATATACCGATTGTGCCAAGTCTGGAAGATATCCCAGTAGTGCAGGGACATTATTTGGGCACTACAGGTAGATAAATAAGAGGAAACTAAGGGTTGTCTGGTTTTAGGGCTTTTGTTTTGTTTTAATTACAATAATTTGCCACTAACATTAATGGCTACAATCTAGTTAGCCCTTAACTTACATTTGAGGGCATGTGTGAATTAGTGGTTCTTTGTTTCCTTCTTCATTGTTTTAACATTTATATCTATTAGTTTTTAACATTTATATCTATTAGTAAAGGTAAAGGTAAAGGTACCCCTGCCTGTACGGGCCCAGTCGTGTCCGACTCTAGGGTTGCGTGCTCATCTCGCTCTAGAGGCCGTGAGCCGGCGCCGTCCGAAGACACTTCCGGGTCACGTGTCCAGCGTGACAAAGCTGCTCTGGCGAGCCTGCACCAGCGCAGCACACGGAAACGCCGTTTACCTTCCCGCTATAAGCGGTCCCTATTTATCTACTTGCACTTAAGAGTGCTTTCAAACTGCTAGGTGGGCAGGAGCTGGGACCGAACGATGGGAGCACACCCCGCCGCGGGGATTCGAACCGCCGACCATACGATCGGCAAGTCCTAGGCACTGAGGTTTTACCCACAGCACCACCTGCGTTATCTATTAGTAACTTTGCATTAATGTAAATTTTTATATATAAGTGTATATTTCTGTAATATTTTGTTTAAGTTGCCTGTTGTTGCTTCAGTTTTTTGTACACCACTTATATATATTTTAAATATATTAAGCAGTATAGAAATTAAAGCAAGCAACTTGAAAAGCAGGTAACTCTTCCTGCATATTTCTGTCTGTCTGTCTGTCTGTCTGTCTCTTCTCCCAGTGTTTCTTTTAAAAGTTACCCAAATTTCAAAATCAGCTTTTCCTCCAACACTGGATTTTTGTGGGGTTTTGAGGGGGGGAGGAGAAAAATCAAATAAATATACTTTCTTGTATGTGCAAATCCATAACACCTGCACCTTTGGGCTGTAGAACAAGATTGAGATAATTTACCAATATACAGCTTCAAACATGTGATATGCAAACATTTTGGGTTTTTTTTAAAAGACAGTTAAATATAAGGGAAGATTTTTTTTTTTACATAAAATGACTTTACATTTCTTATATTTTGGATGAACAAGGACAACTTAATATTAATGACGTTAACATAAAAGCTATGCTGAATAGATAGAATACATGATATGAACAAATGGTACAAAATGATGCAAAATTACCAGAATATTGACTTTAATGAGCAGAATGCTATTTAACACAAACAGAATTAATAGTAGTTGTGGTAGTGATTTTTATTTTTATTTTTTAGGAGACAGGATTATTCAGACAGTTTTTGTTGTTCAAAGATAAAATGTTTTATAGTGGGTGAAAGAAAGTTACCTGGAATACAGTTAAAAGAGCTTGTGGGAAATTATCGAAGGTGCTCCGTTTTGTTTGAGTTTCATCAAAATTAAATTTGCCTCCAAACAGCTGCATTCCAAGCAATGAGAAGATTATGATGAAGAGGAAAAGCAGAAGCAACAGTGAAGCAATGGACTTCATTGAGTTTAACAAGGATGCTACCAAGTTGCTCAGGGATGTCCAGTGCCTACAAATTAAATGCGTGTGTTAACCAAAAAAAAACCGTAAAAGAACAGTGTGTGATGAAATATTACAAAAGAGCTGCGGATCATACAAGTGTCTGTAGAACTCAGCAGTAAGTTGTTTTTTTTAAAAAAAAAGCTCATTGCCTTTAATTTGATCTTACCTGGTTACTTTAAAAATACGGAGGAGACGGACACAGCGGAACACTGAAATTCCAAGGGGTGACATAATTTCCAACTCCACCAAGATGGTTTCAACAATGCCGCCACATACCACGAAGCAGTCAAAACGATTAAATAGGGATACAAAGTATGACTGCAGGCCCAAACTGTACATTTTTACCAACATTTCACAGGTGAATAAAGCCAGAAGAACTTTGTTAGCAATATCTAGAGGGGAAATATTCAGAAAATTATATTGGTTTTTACACCTCTGGTTCAGTTTCATATGTTCTGCAGAAAACAATGACAGTTTCTATTTTGACCACTTTGAGCAAAAAGAATCCTTCACTCCACATTCTTCTCAAGCTATGATGATGCAACCTATCCCCACCAAACTACAGCTCAGAAATAAATGAGTTTGGTTCATAGCATTTCAAAGCAAATTTTCATTTCCTTCTTAAAATACACCAGTTTTACCTTTAGTACAGAAATGATTCAAAGTTTAGTGGGATTCTGATGTATGCCATATACAGTGTCTGCTTTGTTGTATCGTGTGAGTACAAATACCCTAGTACAAATTTTGTAATAGACCCAGAAAAAACCTCTCAATGTTACAGAACAGAGGTGCTTGATAACAGCACACAGCTACAGTCCACAATCCATTTGACTACAGTAAACTGCTGTCAAGTTCAAATTAGACTAGATTGCAACCCATCTAATCTGTGGATTGCAATCCATCTAACCTGGATAAACTCTAGCTGCAACTAAAAATTTGCTTATACCTTCCCATTGTTCTTTTTCCGCAAAGCTTAAACAACCCAGAATGTCTACAAAATGCTAAATAAATAACTGGCTTTGTATTAAGTCTATAACAGTATTCTATTTGTTACTGAATGAATAAGAAAACATTTTCATTTTACCTTGTATTTGTGTCAACCAATCAGGCTGGTTGTAATGCTCAGATGAGATAGTTAATGTGTTCAGGAAGACCAGTACAATAACTAACCAATAAAACGAAACAGATTTGACAGCAGCTCTGCATCTTCTTCTATTGAATCGGTTCCATCGACGCCAACGCCGACTGAAACATAAAACAGGAGACGTATTACGACACAGAATAAAACCACAAAAATTAGGCTTGATGAAATTTTGTCTAGGTAAAGAGATCATGGTTGACTGTCTTGTGCAACCAAGCCACAGAAAGAACCCTGCTCTCGTGCCCATGCGCCATAACTCAGTTAGTTGGGGGATACAGCAGACACCCAGTAGATTTATTTGAAGGCCCGGTAGATGTGACAGGTGTAGACAATTCTTAACACACTTTGGTTCCAGGGTGTTTAAGGCTTTAAAAGTGAGAACCATCACTTTGAACTAATCTCAGAAACAAATAGAGCAGCCACTACAGGTTTACAGTATCAGAGCTGGATCCAGATCCATTCTGTCTGATCCAATAAACGTTCTGACAAACGTTCTTGGTCAACAGAAGTTTCTGAACAGTCTTCGATAGCAGTCTACATAGCAAGCATTATACCCATCTGCTGTGGCAGTGGATTCTGCAGCAATGAACAGACAAGGTTGTTACCATCGATTGTGGCAGCACCAATCATATAGTTTAGGAAAGGAAAATGAATTCTCATGCCCCTTTTCCACTTCCTCAAGAGGGGTATCAACAACTGTATGTTTTAAGAGTCTAACAAGCAGCAATTAGTATACATTCCACAGCTTCACATAGAGATTTCTGGGATCAGACAGGGAAAAATCACGTCTGAATAAAGATTATGCAAATCAGGATTAGTTTAAAAATTAGTTTTCAGGTTAAAATTAGGGGCAACAGCAAGGATACTATTTATACTTGATTTAAAAAAAGGAGAAATGTGAAGATGAAATGGAGTCAGGATTTGCTGCTCTCATATTGTCGCCATTAATGACAAAGGCTTTTTCATCTTTATCTGTGGCTGCCACATTCTACCTCTTAGTCCCCCTGTCTTATAAAAACTGGCATTTCATGAGGTTTCCAATACATTTAAAAATATTTTGGGAAATATGCTACATTTGACTCAAGAGCAAATAAAAACAAGACTCAGGAGCAAATTAAAAACCTCCAAGGGACTATGGTGTGCTGCTAATCTTTGGAAGTCAAATGAACATAAACTGTCACAGCTACGCCTTGAATGTGAATGTATGCTCGTATTTAACATCTGATGGTGAGGAAAGATCACAAACACATTATTCATATCACAATATTATGGCCACTCCAGATCTTTGGTAATCAACTATACCAGTCTTCAGAAGGAAGTGCTAAAGCTGACTAGGATGAAGAAGGTATATGCTGGGACCACAGAGCCTATTTAGAATTTGCCAGTGAGGAAGCAGGGTTTAGAAGAACCAAGGTTTCCATGCAATTGCACACCAATCCTATCCCTCTAGGATGGTGGCAGGAAGATGGTGGCAGCTTCAAGACTACAGTGGTACCTATGGTTACGAACTTAATTCGTTTCAGAGGTCCGTTCTTAACCTGAAACTGTTCTTAACCTGAGGTCCACTTTAGCTAATGCGGCCTGCTGCTTGCGCCGTGCCACCGTCACATGATTTCTTGTTCCCATTCTGAGGTAAAGTTCTTAACCCCAAAGGTACTACTTCCACGTTAGCAGAGTCTGTAAACCCAAAGGTTTGTAACCCGAGGTTTTGTAACCGAGATACACTGTATTGCAAAAAAGCATTCCTTATGCTTAAGCTCACACATCCTTGCAAACCTGTCTACTTTCATAAAATCACCTTTTTGCAGAAGTACCATTTACAATTGTGGAACACTTCGCAGTTTACTTTGGCTTTTATTCACCCCCAAAAATACCACCATGTACAAGAACAACTACTCATGCAAGGTTAAGATACCCCAATAAGTTATGAAACTGAATAAAACCAACAGGTATAACAACAGGTGTTTAGGTAGACTGAAGTCTACCAAATGTATGAAGTTGTGTGGCCATAAGCAAAACATCTAGGGCTCCATATTAAAGAAAGAAGTGAAGGTGCAGTAAGCACACATGGACTGGGGCATATTTCAGCCCTGACAGCAGATTTTCTGTGAGCGCGGAAAATATAGAATTCTTCTTATGGCTTTAGAAATCCTGAGCTATAGATCTTTAGATACATCTAGCCACCATTGTATATATAACCATAGTTATTGTCATTTTCTTCACTGCTGAGTCTAGGGAAGGAAAAAAACCATTTCGAAGATTCCTACAGGAGAAATCCAAAATCCAATGAATGCGGTATTGATAGTTTTAAAGAGTTTTAAGTTCAAGATTAAGAGATTTAGTTGTATAGCTGATTGATTAAATTATAGAAAGAGAAGCAGATAAGGAAACAATAACCTTGAGATTTTTGGGGAAAAGCTTTCTTGAAAGGTAAGAAACTTTAGAAAAGAATACAAGCTACTTGTATTTGTATTCTTAGGTTTTAGTGTGAACAAAGGCAAAGTTAAGAAACAAAGCAAGATACCATATTGAGAATATGACTGATTTTTTTTAAATTGTGCTTCTAAATATCTGCCTAAAGAAAAAGGACATTAATATTGTATGGGTGAATTTCAAAAGAAATAAAAATATTTTGTTGTGACACATTACAAAGCAGCATCCTTGGAATATGGCATAAAATACTTCAAGTACTGCCTCTCCTCATATGAACTGACTTGGACCCTGTGATCATCAGCTGAGGCCCTTCTTCATGTGCCTCCTCCAAGAGAGCTCTGGAAGGTGGCAGCACCAGAATCAGCCTTTTCTGAAGTGGCTTGTGGAATGTTCTCCCCAGGGAGACTGATCTGGCACTTTCATCATCTGTAGGCGCCAGGCAAAACAATCCTCTTCTTCCAGGCCTTCAGCTAGTTGAACAATCTATGGCCTTTTAAACTGTGTTGTGGGGAGGAGGTGGGTGGGTATTGTTTTTGCTTCCTACTATGGAATGTAGTTTTCTGTTTTCATATTATAAACCATCCTGTGATCCTCGGATGAAGGGCAGTATAGAAAATTAATAACAACAACATTTTTTTCCTACTCTGATAAAAGTTATCAGCCCTACTCTGATAAAAGTTATTTTAACCATATATATCCAAAAACCGTACAAAAATTCCCACAGAGAAAATTATTTCAGCCAAGTCAACTATATGCAAGTTGAACCAACAGAGTGAACTCTGAAGCATGCCTAGAAGATTTAGTCATTCAAAATACATATTTTTTATTGGGTTGGGGGAGAATCTATTCTGCCCATTCATGAAACACATTTCAGGAATGCTGAAAAAGTCAATGGAAGGGTAAGTGGAGGGGTGGAAGAGTTCACATTGATCTAAAAGCTAGTAGATTTGAGGCGGAGGAAGAAGCCACATCAGATGCATAATTATCATTAAAAGTAACAATACAGTGGTACCTCCGGTCGCGAACGGGATCCGTTCCTGAGGTCCGGCCATATCCCAAAGTTTTTGCAAATGGAGAGACCGCTTTTGCGCATGCAGCAAAACACTTTTGGGTTTGGCGTTTTCACAACCCGAAGTTTACGTTACCCAAGGGTAACGTAACCCGAGGTTCCACTGTACAGTGGTACCTCGGGTTAAGTACTTAATTCGTTCCGGAGGTCCGTTCTTAACCTGAAACTGTTCTTAACCTGAAGCACCACTTTAGCTAATGGGGCCTCCTGCTGCTGCCGCGCAGCTGGAGCACGATTTCTGTTCTCATCCTGAAGCAAAGTTCTTAACCCGAGGTAATATTTCTGGGTTAGCAGAGTCTGTAACCTGAAGCGTATGTAACCCGAGGTACCACTGTAATAGACTCTGCCTTCCTCATATAAAGCAACTGAGGTGGCTAAAAAGCAATTAAAAGCTGCACAAAAGCAGAGTACCGCACGATAAGGTTAAGATTGTTTCATTACCTATCATGTATCCAAACCTCAGCACGTGAAACTAAAACAGCTGCATATTCTTTTCTTGTTACTCCCCCCCCCCATTTGCATTCCCTTCCTCTACTGTTTCCTTTTGTCAACTTTAAATTGGAAGCTCCTCAGAGCAGGGACCTGCTCTCTTGTGCTCCACATGCTGAATTTTAAAAACTATCCCATTTCTATAGGACCGATCATGTAAATGGGAAGTGGTAGAGTACCCACTTCGAATTCAAAGGTCACAGGTTCAATCACCAGTATCTCCACATAGGGCTGGGGGAAAACATGCCTGAAATTCTGGAAAGCTATAATAATAATAATAATAATAATAATAATAATAATAATAATAATAATACAGACAATACTGAGCTTGATTAATGAACCAATGGACTCATTATATGGCAGCTCTTTGTGTTCTTTAAGCCATTATTGTTTATTTGTTTAATTACCTGCTCAAGTTTTTGTGGCCAAATGTTGATAGATTGCATATGATGCTGTATACATTTCTTGTGCATTCACTAACCCATTTTTTAAAAAAGATTCAGTCATATTCAACCATAATATGTGTAGATTAACAGGAAACAGTTAAGGTACAGGGGGAAAGTGATTGAAAAGAGAGAAAAGAATACTGACCTGAACTTGGATTTTGAGATAATTTGACTAAAAGAAAAGGAAAACATATTTTTAAAGAAAATACGTAACAATTATTTACACAACTCCTTCTCCCTTGAAAGCTATGTTGGAAATTAAAAGCATTTAAAATTATTTCAATCTTGCATGTCTGCTTGATACAGAAATGTTCTATTGGTGTAAATTGCAAAATAATGGCACCTTTTTACTGCTTCGAAGGATCAGCACAATAAAAGCTTACATATTTTACATACATAGGAAACATTGTCTTTTTGAATTGATCTTTTAGCAAAGCATATCAGTAATGATACTATTAAGACACCAATGTCAAACTGGTTCAGAAATAGATTATAATCAAAATTTCACGATCAAAAATCCTCCATGGCACTTACAGCAGATCCCCCCCCCAACAACCCTGCAAGGTAGGCTGGAAGAAAATGACTGCCCAATACCATGCAGTGAGTTTGAAAGGGTTGAGCAGGAGTTTGAACTCTGGTTTCCAAGGTCTAAATCTAGCCACTACATCACACTGGTACAAATCATGGTTTGAATGTACTTATCA